GCATCAACGTTTTCAGAGGCAATACCTCATTAACGAGTCTGTTCTGCTATCGAAATAAACAAGCTCCGGATTTTCCATATCTGGCAAAGGGACACCTGTAAGGAACAGTAGTACCTCAATTTACGTGCACTATAAAATTTCGAAGGCATTACCTTGAAACACAATGGTGGCAAAGTCTCTTTTTTTCTCGGAATCTATAACCGAAGAAAGCCCGCGGAAAAGATTTACGAGAAAATGCTGACTAGATCTGCTTTCTCTGAATCAGATATGCTGAGGTAAACTGCTAAATGCCTCTCAATTTATACCTTAGATGACTTAATCCATTCTGAAGAGCAGCAACCTTTCCGACACCATTCGTGAGTCCAGCAGCTAGGCACCATTCGTAACATCTGAACTGAGCAAGCTAAGATCTGCCGCCGCCACCGTTTTTGGAGTAAAAAACATCAAGTTTGCTTCTGACTTCGAGGATTGAACCTTATTAAAACGAAGCGCTTGAGCTCCATCTACTTGACGTCAGTGAATGAATTAGGATATTCCATACTCTCAACAAACCTATTGCTTGCAGGATGACAAACCTTTGAAAATGTTGTTCAATCCAATCTGGAAGACTAGGATGCTCTTCAGTAAGTGTCTTCACCCATTTTGCCACCACTTCCTTGGCAGAAATGTCTTCCTCGCTAAATGAGGATCGTTAGAAATTTTGAATATTTAGTGAAGAGGTGCGAGATTCGTATCTCGTAAGCGAAGAGGTCCCATTTATATCGTACTAGTTTGTCGTTTAGTTGAATAGGGTAGAATACTTTCTTGAAGCTGGTACTATACTGACCTGATGTAAATCATGCCCATTCTCGATACCGTCGCGGGTGACGCAAATTCGAGAGAATCAGTTTCAAAAAGAAAGTTGACGTTACTTCCAAATTGAATGCGCTCTCCAGACGGCATAGTCAGCTAAATAGAGGAACGAGTATATTGTGCCGTAAGTGATACCTATTTGCTACAGAAATCCTAAGTTTGCCCTACTTACTGATTTTTGAACAACGCTGCAAATCATGCGTCCAATGTACACTGCACCTTATGTTCTTTAAAAACAAGTCAAGTCAAAATCTCCGTGCCGTGTCATCCATACTTTAGCATCACGTTTAGTAAAGCATACAGATCGCTTTGCTCACTCTACCATTAGCAACTGCATAGTAAATTTTTACGTTACTTACCAAGCGGTTATCGTCTAAAACGGAGTTGAGCGCTTCTATCCATTCTGGATCGATATCTCCATCAAATACTATCCATGTATGCACGCTAGTGTCTTTGATCACCTACAGTATCATGTTGCCGTGGATGCTCCCTTTAATTCCATGTATACAACTACCTCTCTGGCTACCATCGTCAAAATACCATCAGACCATTCCCGAGTATCAATATCCATGTGGCCAAGTAACTGAACATTCCATATTGCTCAGCTGACAAGGCATGGACTTACTCTTTTTCCTTTGGCTACCTTTGTTCTACTCATAGCTTTCGGATTGAAAGACACAGTTTTGAGCGCCACACCAGCG